TTTCATCATCAAAGTAAATTCCCGGACAGTCATTTACAAGGACAGAAGAAAGAAAGTAAGTTCTGCGTCTACTTTGATCTTTCTTTTTTCATCATCAGAACACAAGGAAGACTGGAGAAGGTCTGTTCCTCCTCTTCTACCATCAGAGCACAATCCAGGCTAATCTATTACCACGGGGTAGAAGAGAGCGTCGGCCTGCCTCTACTTTTTCATTATGGTGGTGGAGGTACAATTCCCGTGGTCACTTTTCACCACCAACAGGGGAAAACGAGCCTCGCCTTCCCGCCAAAGTGTCCTCCCGCCACAGCTCCTCCACACTAATGCTTCACAAAAAAAATAAAAAAATACTGATTGACCTCCACAGTGGCGACGTTCCGTAAGGCTCTGAGAGGAACAACGGTAATACAAGGTAGGGAGAGGATGAGTGAGGGAGGGGAAGGTTGAGGGAGTGGGAGGGGAAGAGCGAGGGAAGGGGAGGAAAAGAGAGAGGGGGAGAGGAAGAGTGGGGGAGGGAGGAGGGGATGAGTGAGGGGAGGTGGGGAGGAGGAAGAGTGAGGGAGGGGAGAGAGAAACAGTGAAGGACGAGGAGGGTGTGGGTGGGACAGGAGGAGGGATAGGTATGAGAGAGGGCAAGGGCAAGTAATAAGAGAACAAGAGCGAGCTCAGGATGGAGAGATGAAGACCAAATACACCTGTACATAAAAAGATCACTACGCCACATGTCCACTAATACAAACAATGATAAGATGAAAGCCCACCCACCAATCACTTACTAGATTGTCACAGTGTTTCTCCCGTTCTATGGGTTGACCGTCAGTATATTAAGAAACGAATATTGCACCATAGAAAATAAGAGTATTGGTGAGTGTTGTGTGTTGCGGTGGGGGAGAGGCGGGGGGAGGGGTAACAGCGGTAGGCAGGTGTGTTATAATGGTGTGTGAGGTGTTCATACGAGGACCCCCCTCCACCGTCTCCCCTGTTGTTTCTTGAAGGTTATGTAGTGTTTGTGTTTATTTTTTTATTTTTTTTTTGCGTTGGTTTGTGTGTGTGTGTGTGTTTGTTTTCCAAGGAGCTCATGTATGTGTCTTGAGTCCATGCTTTGTGTGTTCTTGTATTGTTTTTCGAAGAGTGTATATTTGAATCTGAGGCCGTGTTTGGTGAGGCGTTGTGGGTGTGTATATTGTTTGAAGGCAATGTTTACATGTTTGTATTATGTCTAAAGTCTGTCGATTGAGTTCAGGCTTATGTATACGAATCACCCGAAGATGGATACCTCCAGCTTATTTCACCTGATGAATAAACACCCTAACGCTACCTACGGGGTTAGGATAGGATAGGTAGGATATGTTAGGTTAGGTTAGGTTGAGATAGCGCAGTGTTTAATCATCGTGTAAGATGAGCTGGGGGCTAATCTTCACCTAATGCTGCGTTCTGTTGCGAAAGGTCTTATGGCTCACGTCATCAGAATTCACGATACAAAGATATAGTTTAATTCGCCAGTTGGTAAAATCTGATGCGAGTTTTGTTGAATTTTCTCTCTTTTTCCTTAAGGTGAAATATACGAGTCGATCGAAAATTATGATTGATGACTTTCTGATGATGGGAGAAAAAGGTGAATTAGTGTTTGTCGTTGATTTGGTAAGGATTTGTTTTTTTTTGGTACTTCCTGTAAAATTTTCTCGTAGGTAAAATACACTCGTTTCACGTATTATACCGTAGACTGGTGGGTATTGTAAGCGTCTCTCTGCGTGTATCCGTTTGTCAGTTCAGGGATATTAACTCATTTATTATCCCCTAGAGCAGAGGATATTGTAATCGCTTGTGTGTGTGTGTGTGTGTGTGTGTGTGTGTGTGTGTGTGTGTGTGTGTGTGTGTGTGTACTCGGGCTTTTGGAAGGGGATGTTCTGAAACGTGTATTTGAACTTCACACAAAGGTCAAAAATTTCTTGAATCACCGAAGGAAACAAGACTTCCTTCAGCATTACGAAGAAGAACTAAGGAACGAGGACTTGCTTGTCTTGCTGACATTTTCAAGCCGCTGAACCTTAAGCTCCAAGGAAGGGGGGGTCTAATATTCTTTTCCCAGATCATCTCAGAAGATTTGTCGCCGATCTCCAAAACTGGCGCAGGAAAGTGAACAGAGGAGACATAGCTATGTTTGAAAGATTGACTGAAGTGCAAGACAGCGTTGGAAAATCGATTAATCCTGTACTGAAAAACGACATTTTTGAGCACCTTGAGTCACTGAAGGGTCAAGACGTACCTGGCGCTCCTCTCGGAGCAGCCAGGTCAACTGTTAACTTGGCCCATACCAACTCCCTCCCCTGAACCCTCCTCCCCACCGGAATATCAACAAGTTCACGCCAGAAGTTACTATTCATTTAGGAAAGGAATGGAACCAGTGTTAAACAGAGGTGAACAGTGGTGAACAGTGCTTAAGTCAGTGAGAACAACTCAACAGTAACAGTGGTACCCAAGTTGACCTTCACACAGTGAGGTCCCAGGTACCCAGTGATAACGGCCCGACCCAACAACCAGTGCTGTGTTAATCCGTCTACGATAGGAAGGCCTGGGACCACACCTCACTCATAGAACACCGTCTGTGAGGGAACTACTACACCACGTGAGGCCCCTCATAACACCATCTGTGAGGGAATTACTACACCACGTGAGGCCTCTCATAACACCATCTGTGAGGGAATTACTACACCACGTGAGGATCTACACCCCCTCATAACACCATCTGTGAGGGAATTACTACACCACGTGAGGCCCCTCATAACACCATCTGTGAGGAATTACTACACCACGTGAGAGGCCCTCATAACACCATCTGTGAGGGAATTACTACACCACGTGAGGCCCCGCATAACACCATCTGTGAGGGAATTACTACACCACGTGAGGCCCCTCATAACACCATCTGTGAGGGAACTACTACACCACGTGAGGTCCCTCCTAACACCATCTGGGAGGGAGTTACTACACTACGTGTTTGCTGTTCAACACCTACATTAATCTGTATGTTCACTGTATGTTCCTTCACCTTTCTCTAATGAAGGCTTTTGTTAAACCACCAATGTATGTAATAAGTCATTTATGTCCAATGTATATTTTCAGCCTTCGGGCTGCAGAACTTTTTCAATAAACCGTTAATTATTATTATTATTATTATTATTAAGATGGAATTTCACAAGTATTTTCCTGATTTGGACAACAATGAGCCAAAAATTGTGAAAGGTAATGCAGGATGAATTCCTCGAACTCCGAGACGATTCATTTGCCAAAGACACAATTGAAGAGATGAGCTTGACGGAGTTTTGGGTGGCAACGGTTCTCTATACTAATATGAGCAAAATGGTTATTCGGGTGCTTCTGCCATTCTCGTCTACCTCTCTCTGCAAAGTGAGGTTTTTCCACGCTGTTGAACATCAAATCAAAACAGCGCATTTGGCTCCATGTGGAAGATGACCTCCGCTGTGTCCTGACTGTGACTCAACCACGGATACCCCAGTTGGTAGCAAAAATGTAATGTCAGCCAACCTACTTAACTTTTGAGTGTTTTTTGCTTGCGCGTAAACTTTACGCGCAAACACCATGTCCCGAGTTTTGAATACATGAGTTGTTGAGTTGAGTTTATTTTTGTGAGATTATAATACACTGCATTTACTACAGGCACAATAGAGGTTTTTATTTTCATATATCAATGACTTGGAACTTTTTCATACTGTTTTCTCGTGTAGCCTTTTTATTTTGTGTTGTCCCTGTAGCTACTGGTACTGTACCACTAAAATATTAAAATCTCATATCCAGCTGCTCATTCGGGCGACGTTGCTTTGTTTGCTTCATCGAAGAAAGATGTAGATGCGGGCCACTGAGGTTATCATAATTATGTCGGGGGGGGGGGGGCAGAACGGAAAAGGTTGGGATACACTGTTCTAGAGAATGGGATGATGATGTCAAAGGTCAACATGAAGATGGGGAAGGTCAATATTGTACTAATGAGGTCAGGGGTCAAGGTACTTCAGTTTCCGTTTGTTCGCGTCAACACAACGAGACCACATGTAAGAAAGGAGATGGACGTGAACGAAGCAACAGAAACACAGGTGTGAATGATTAAGACGAAGAGAAAATAAAAAAAAATATGATTAAAAAGGAAAGAAAAAGAAAACAAAGTCAAAAGTCCAAACAGAGAGGAAAAATAAAAATAAACACATTAATAAAGACGAAAAAAAGAAGAAAAAACATTCCAGGAATATGACTGGCCGGCGTCTTCAAATAACATCATGTCTTGTGTTTTAATTTATGCTAAGGGTATAAGAGCTGTGTTTCCAGGCTATACGACGGTTTAATCTCTTTTTTCTCCAGCATGAAAGTGAATAGCGAGTGTAAGAGTACGTAAAGGTGTTTTAATCTGTATTAAGGGAAGGATTTTTTGGGGGAGTGTCTTAAAAACTAAAAGGAATATATTGGTGTTATGGTGAGTTATGACTTCCTGTGCTGTCCACATCATAGACTTGACACCTGTACACATGTTCTATTAATTACAAACGATTACCTGTGTGTCTGGTGTAACATCTGTACAAGTGTCCTGTCATATATAAAGGATTACAGGAGTGTCTGTTTTAACATCTAATAATGGAGCTCACTCATAAATTTAAACAAACACCTGTACAGATGTTCCAATTAGTACATGGAAAAGATGAACGTATGTATGTATGTGACTTGACTCGTCCAGCTACACACCTGTCCAAATTTGTTTTCATTTAAGAGGGAAATAAATAATGTAACTGTATGACTTGGTTCATTTAGTGAGACATCTATGCACATGTTCTTATTCATGTCTTATTATTTGCAAGGCTCATCCAGAGGACTAAACAGATACTCAATTTTCTTATCTCACAAATAAACAAATGTGTCTTGGCCTAAGCCTATTGAATTAACATTATTAAACCACCTGTACAGATGCCATATTTCACACGTAGGCAGCTGAGTCTTACCTGGGCGTCTTCATCAGACTGCTTGTACAGTTCTTGCATGATCTCCTGGATGGCCTTGGTGAAGCACACAGTGTAGTTGGTCCATCCCTGGGGCAGTGTGAAGTCCCCCGGGGTCTTGCCTGTCCACCGACCCGACCCATCACAGTGCTTGTACACATACTCTGAAACACACACAGGAGGAGTGTTATTTTGGGCCTACTCTGAGGTACACACACATACACACAGCTACAGTAGTAACATTCGTAAGCACCATCATTTAGAACACAGTATAAAGTTTACACAGTCCGTATAAGTTTCCCAGATGAATTGAGAGAGAGAGAGAGAGAGAGAGAGAGAGAGAGAGAGAGAGAGAGAGATAACACATTCTCCTATTTATTTATTTTATTTTTTAAGAGCAAATGGACGAGCAACGACGACGAGATGATAATAGTGAAATGTGTCTCAGTAATTTATAACAACGTGTGGAGGTAGAGGCCGTTGTGTATTACTGTTGTGTGTTGGTGAAAAATAATACCCTGGAGGTTTATTTTTCAGGTCAGGTTAGGTTAGGTCAGGTTAGGTTAGATCAGGTTAGGTTAGGTTAGGTCAGGTCAGGTCAGGTTAGGTCAGGTTTAGGTTTAGGTTTAGGTTTATTTTTCCAGGGTGAGGGATGGAGGGAGGGAGAATTTAAATACCCAAATCTGGAGCTGAATATTTATAACCCAAACATTGAGATTGATTTTGTTTTGGTAGGGTGATGTCGGGTTAGGTTGGGGGGGGGCGTTGCATTAGGTTAAGTTTGGAATAAGTTTGCCTTAATTAGACTCAGCTTAGATTAGGGATAGGTTAGTAGGTTAAGTTAGTCAGGAGGTTAGCTTAAGTTTGGGTTATCTTAGGTCAGGTTAAGTAAGGCCTACAGCAGAATAGACGAGGTAGGTTAAGTTAGGTTAGAAATTAATATATGTTTCATTAGGCTACGTTTGGAGTAGGTTAGGTTTGGTTAGGTTAGGTTAGGTTTGGTTAAGTTAAGTTAAGTTAGGTTTGTTTTGGTTGGATTAGGTTTGATCAGTTTTGGTTGTTTCCATAGCTCAAAATTAGTTAAGGTTAGGTAAGGTTTGGTTAGGTTAGGTTAGGTTAGATTTGATTTGGTTAGGTTTGATCTAGTTTGGTTAAGTTTTCATAGCTTAAAAATAGACATAAGTTATATTTAGTCAGGATCCGGGTGTGTGGGTTTAAGAGTTAATGAGGGATTATCAGCTTTGGGACGTAGGGAAGAGTGAAGTGAATCGGCAGTATTAAATCGGCTCAGACGTCGGTTATATAAGTCAGTCTTCAAGTGTAAATTAACTCTATCGTTAAGTAAATCGGCAGTACTGAATCGGCTCAGACGCTCAGTTATATCGGTCAGTCTACAAGGAGAATAATCGCCCTCCCTCTTAACTCACCCCGTCTCGACAAACATGCTGAAATAGTTTTCTGTATACTTTGTACATGAATTTCAGTTACAATGAAGTCTCCTGAGAGCACGAGGCTGAAACTCTGTTGATTCTTTTTAAGCCCCTGGTGTGTATATTTCGCTATTTTTTTTTCTTTGTTGATATTTTTTCATTTATCTTCAGTTATGACAAACAAACAAAATAATTCAGACAGTGAAGGCATTATAATGATAGCAAGAAAGGCGTTAGTTTTATTCTTTATTAATTATAGGAGAGAGAGAGAGAGAGAGAGAGAGAGAGAGAGAGAGAGAGAGAGAGAGAGAGAGAGAGAGAGTAAATATTCAAAATGGCCGAATGTTAGCGTAAAGGATAAAACAATATTTTGTGTACCATAACATAAGAACCTTACAAACCCAACTGTGTACACAATACCATATATTACTTTAGTGTGTGTGTGTGTGTATTAATAATAATAATATTATTATTATTAATAATAATAATTAACGGTTTATTGAAAATATACATTGGACATAAATGACTTATTACATACCAAGACATGGGGTGGGTGGGTCGTTTAACAAAAGCTTTCATTACTGAAAGAAGAAGGAACATGAATTGCACATACAAATTATTATAGTTTACAGTTGATGGCCCCGGCCTGGACTGGTCATGGAGACATCGGGTGGTGTGGTTATTCCCGTGGTGTAGTAATTCGTCCTCGAGTGTTGATATGAAGGACCTTACGTGGTCATGGAGACATCGGGTGGTGTGGTGTTCACGTGGTGTAGCAATTCGTCCTCGAGTGTTGATATGAAGGACCTCACGTGGTCATGGGGACACCGGATGGTGTGGTGTTCACGTGGTGCAGTAACTCGTCCGTAGGTGTTGTTATGAAGGACCTCACGTGGTCATGGGGACACTGTGTGGTGTGGGGTGGTGTCACAGTACCTCACTCTGCTGGGTGGTGTTGTGTTATCTCGTAGTCAGGTGTGAAGCCGACCCACTGTTGTTCCCATGATGGGCTGATTAGCACCTCCTGGTCAGAAGATGGTGGTCAGTTCCCAGGGGTCCTTATCTCAGCGGTGCGTCACGGCTCTCACTGGTAATGTCTGGTGCTGAATTCACTGGCTTAAACACTGTTCATCATTGTTCTACACTGATCCCACTTCTTTCCGAAACGCAATTGTCACTTTTGATTATGTTGATATCCCGGTGGCGAGGATGGGTCGGGGAGACGGACTTGGGGAGTGGGGCTGAACAATGAACATGGCCAAGAGGGGCCGCTGCTCAGCAGCGCCTGGTAGGTCTTGACCCTCCCGTGGTCAAGGATGTGTGTGTGTGTGGTTTTTGTTTATTACTAGTTGTGGAATACTGTTTTGCTCGGTTTGTTTATCAGGGGTAGCTCATAGCCTTTGTTAAAATTATCAATATTATTATTGTTATTATTGGCAAAAGAAGGATGAAAAACTTGTAGAAAGGAGAAAAAATGAAGACACAACACGAAAGAGAAAAATGCAAAGAACAAAGGTTAGGTTAGAGTAGGTTTTAGGTTTGGGAAGGTTAGGTTAGGTTTAGGTAGGTTTGGTTAGGTTAAGTTGGTAGGCTAGGTTAGGTTTTGTTTGGTTTTGGTAGGTTTGGTTAGGTTAAGTTGGTAGGCTAGGTTAGATTAGGTTAGGTTTAGGTTAGATTTTGTTTGGTTTTGGTAGGTTTGGTTAGGTTAGGTTAGTCATTTAGTCAAACGAGAATAAAATGTTTACACAATTGTAATTTTCCTCTTTGATAAACTATAAATAGTAACTTCAAAGGTTATTTTTAACTACCTGTACTCAAGCTAATTACCAATAATAGTCGGTGTTGCATTGTTAAGTGGTTGACATTACGCTAAATATTATTACCTATGTTTATATATTTATTTAGTATTATTCTCTGTTGTTGTTGCTTTTTTACATTACAGTGAATCCTCTATTAACGGACTACTGTATATGGAGAGGAAATTCCTTTACGTCAAGGGTGTGTTTGATAAAAGTGTGTTATATTGAGGTTCCTTTAGAAACACAACCCCCATCTAACGGATTATATGGAGAGAAGTCCGTTATATACAAGTTTCACTGTATATTTGCTAAACATTGTGTTGATTATATAGTTTTTTATACCAGTATTTAATTTATGTACATATTGTGTCCGGTTTATTCATGTGTTATTCTTTACATTATTAATTTTTTCTTCGTGTTTTCTTGTTTTGTGTATAATGTATTGCTGAATAAATACAATAACAGTGTTGCTATTAATGAAAAACGTGTGTATGTGTGTGTGTGTGTGTGTGTGTGTGTGTGTGTGTGTGTGTGTGTGTGTGTGTGTGTGTGTGTGTGTGTGTGTGTGTGTGTGTGTGTGTGTGTGTGTGTGCGTGCGTGCGTGCGTGCGTGCGTGTGTGTAAATATATTGTGTAAGGTGAAATGTATAATTAAAGTTAAGTGTTCCTCTGAACACTAAGCAAAGAACACAAGCTAACAGTGTTAAGCCCTCTGTCGAGATCAACCCATCAACGTTAATTCCTAATGTCGTGATATTTCCAACTCTCTTTACATATTAAAATTACAGTCGCTGCAGGTGTGATTTATTTTATTTTTATTTATTTTTTCATATTAAAAGAGGTGGTTCAAATTTTGTTAATGGATTCTTTTGGTGCTAAGATAGAATCACGTGAAGATTAGCCCCCCTCCAGCTTATCTCATCTTAATTTAAATCCCCCTAAAACTAACCAAACCTAACCTAACCTCCCCTCCCCCAGGTAGCGTTAAGAGAGTTTTAATCATCAGGTGATATTAGCTACTTGGGGAGGCGGGTTTAATGTTCATATGAGCCGTAAAATTTAGTGTTAATATCAGTCTTGAAAGCTGTGAGGCGTCAGATAGCAAAATAGTCAGCCTCTGAAGTTGTGCTTGAAGTCTTTCATTACCCGGGAACCCCCCCCCCCCCACATAAGTTGTGAATCTCTTGAGAATGTGGAACCTTGAGATGTTATTGTTGTTGTTGTTGTTGTTTGAAAAGTGTCTTGACTTTGAGGCTCTTGAGAGATCAAGAGTAAAGTGGCTTCTTTTTTTTCTTCCTGTTCTTGTTCCTCGTGGTCTTTTGACAATTCTTCTTTGCTTCCTCCATTTGATCTCCCCGTGTCTCTTATCCTCCGCTTCTCCTCTTATATCATTTCTTCCTTGTTTTCTTCCCCATCCTTCCTACCATTCCTTTCATCTTCCTTGCTTAATTTCTTCCCGTCTCTCCTCATCCATTATTTTTTTCTGTTTACTCGTCTTTGTACTCTGCCTTTCTTCTTTATTTCTCTGTTACTGCTTCCCTTTCGAATTTTTGTTCTTCCTCCTTCCTTACCATTCTTCTTTCCTCACTCCTTCTCTCTCAAATTCTATCATCTGTTCTCTCGGTCTGTACTTTCCCTTTCTATCAACTCCTCCCTCCCTCTTTCCTTCTCTTCCTTCTTGTCTCACGTTCATTCCTTCCCCCCCCCTCCCTTCCCTCTCCTTTGCCCCTCTACCTTCCTCTTTTCCTTCCCTTTTTATCCATCCCCTATCCTTGCAGAATCTTGGTTTCGTAGTTTGAAATGGATGCAGAACTCTTGTGTGTGTGTGTGTGTGTGTGTGTGTGTGTGTGTGTGTGTGTGTGTGTGTGTGTGTGTGTGTGTGTGTGTGTGTGTGTGGGTGAGTGTTTGAGTGTGTGTGTGTGTGTGTGTGAGAGTC